TATGTTACCGCTATGCGGTATCTAGTTTTTTTTTTTCAGTGATTTTTGGTCAACCGTTGCACAAAAACGGCTACATCAATCATTCTGACCTACACCCAAACCACTACAATTTTGAGATGCACCTAGTAGCATGACATTTATTAGGAATAAAGACTTCTGAGTTCTGGTGCATTTGTGCGTGCGGGGGGTCAATATGTTACCGCTATGCGGTATCTAGTTTATTTAGTAGTGATTATTAAGTTAGTTTAATATGGACTTCATCTGGACTTTTTAGACTGCCCTAGTGTTATGTATTGTTATTGCTGCTAGCATCTTAACATATAAAAAAAAACATAAGAACAAACACTCACCCAGGGAAAGACCAAGTGATGGTCATTGTGGAGACATTTGGTAAAGAGGTTGTGGATCCACCCATTGACAAAAAAGTGATAGGCTTTCATCTGCTGTTTGGTGTAGATAGTGCCGTCTGGCATACGGAACCAGAGATTTTAATCCGCTTGGCACTCCTCTTCACTTTCCTCTTCTAATCTAAATAACGGATCACCAACTTCCTTGTCAAAGTCCTCATACTGTTTATTTTCCCTGCATCTCTGCTTTTGAGCTTCCCTCCCATCTCTGCAAAAGTTCTGACTGTGACTCGGTCCATCCGTCTGCATTTCGATCTCCATCAGCTCCAGCTACATGTTCATCGCCTATTTGTTTTGACTCAAAGAAACTAAAACTGGCTTAACTAAACTGTAAACACACGAAACTACACCCTAACTATAAGATACAAACACACTAAATATTATACATTTCTCAAAACTCATTGCTCACTCCTGAGTCACTCTCTCCATCATCGCCAAACTTTGTTCAACTTTCGACTCTTTTTATATTCTTCTTTCTGTAGATATTTTGCTGCTTGTCTAATAATTTCAAGCATCAGTCAGAAAGGAGTTTGGGAGTTTTATGTTGGTTCTGTGGGGTGGATTGAGGTGTTTTTTCCACGGATCTGCCTGTCTTTTGCAGCCATGTACTGCAACACACTTTAAATATGATGAACATTTTAATAATTTATTTATTGTTTTATTTAATTAATTTATAATTATTTATTAATAATTCGATTTAAGCGTCTGAAGCAGATGTAAACTACACAATACACAATGGGCATTTTTTGAGATGGCAGATCCACCGATACTTCACTTCCTATCCTGTATCTGCATTTTGCGCTCTCGCAGTACTGCATTGTGACATCACGTGAAACCAACCTATAAGAATGTTTTGCTGACTTACAGTCGAAGCATAACGGTGGATTATGGTGGAAAACAATTGAAATAGTGTGCAGATGTCAAGATGCAGTCAGGTCCAAAGGAGCGGATAGCTGAAGTGAAGTTCCTGCTTTTTATTCAGCACTTTAGGCTCCCCTCAGCCGTGTTATAGCTTCCACTGAGTGAGTTTAAAAGGGTCAACTTTAACAGGAGCTGTACTGATTCTGAGAAGAGTGTCTTTTTTTTGAGGATCAGGAAGAAAAAAGCCAGAGGTGGCTCTGCTTTTTGTCTTCATATGCCTCCATTCATTCAAGAAGTGGGGGGTAACACTTGGTGGTTCAAACTCCAGCGGATGGCAAGTTTGACTTTCAGAGTCATGATTTTCATTAGTTAAATCAGTCATGTTCTTATTTTCAACTAAACATTTAATCCAAAATATCAGATGCTGCTTCACACTTTATTTCAGGTGTATATAGATTAAGAAGTACAGCATTTTTTTTATTATTGCATATATTATGCTTGTGAAAAATTAAAAACATGTCTGCAAATTAATTATTCATGATGGCTATACTTATTTAATTGTGACTAAGAAAATGCATTGCTGGCATTTGTAGAGTCTTGTTTTGTTTATTTGCTGATGGTTTTTACTTTATTCTTTGGTAGTACTGATTAGATTTTGTTCTTTGTGGGAATGTAACTCCAACCTTTCCGTACCTTACATTTCTTTTTTATGAGAAACCAAAGGTTGTTGAATATTTTGACACACAGTGTCGAGCAGAAGAAAAAAACCCCCACTGATTATATTCATCATATTTTTGTCAAGTTTCTCAGCCACATCCAACATAAAGCCATTCCTGCTGTGTTTGCAAGTCAAGAGTTTACACAGGCTCAACATCAGGTTCTCATGTCTGCTGACCCTGGTTGGTACTAGTCACACAAACATTAACACATATGGGAGGTATGTCTGATATATTCCTGCGTTTGATTCTTTGAGCTTGTGGCAACTTTGAGAACATTCCTACCCCCAGCTCTGTATACTCATCTTCCTGACTCAAGCCTGGAGCCAGGAGAGGGGACCTCTCTGATCCCAGTGTAGAACGTGTCTGGGTCAAGCAATGAGGAAGTTCAGTGTTTTGCTCAGAGACCCTTCAACATGCAGAGCTGAAGACTAAACCTTCAATTTTGGAAGCTAATCCTTACTTTAATCCTCCTTGGATAATAGTTGTGGAAATCCAGGATTGTGGAGCTAATTTTTGTCCTTTTTAGTATTTTGTTGTATTTTATGGGTCAAATGGTTTACCTGTTATTCCAGAAAATAATTTCATGAGAACATTTTAATTGATAACTTAGTTTTGAAGTCTATACAGTACACCCAGGCTGACAGTTTTTATGGTGTTTTTTTAAAATAATTTATTTGGTGTACCAATTAGAAAACACTGACTAAATTTGACTGGATGCAATGCATCTAAAGCTTCCTGTTTTACTCTGACCATAATAGATTGTGTACAACACAAACTTGTAAAGGGTTTTTTAAACATTTTCAGAAATCTTTGTGACTGTGATTCAGTGGAGGTGATAAGTTTTGCTCAACATGATGTGACATGGGATCCTCTGAGTCCTGGGTTGTGCTTGACCTGAGATCTTGGCAGCAAGTGTTTTAGATTCTGTTGCTTCAGGTGTTCTGCCCTCTTGTTGCAAACACTTTGGATTATGATCGTGGGTGTTTGGAAGCAGGGATTTTGTTTTGTTCCTCAATCTGATCTTGCGTTTGCAGTGTAGCTGGGAGTGTTCTTGGCATCGGGTAGTGTGCTTGGTCTTGCAGCCATGTTAAGATGGGTGGCGTGTCCAAGAAACCTCTACATAAATACCACAACAGAAGGGTTCTAATAAAACAATCTTATTTACCTCACCTGGCTGCGACTTTAATGTTTTGGCTTTTGAGTTTGATGCCCTTTTTAGTTTTAATGCAAGTAATCCTTCGCCTCTGAAGCTCAGGAGGAAAATGAGAAGAAAGAAAAACACGAGGCCTGGATTGATTGTTTTCAGTGGGGCTTTTTGAGATCCCCAACCTCAGAGCCTAGCCTTTTAAGGCAGGTTTATTTTTCTGAGCCAGTCATTTTTCCTCCTATTTACTCCCACATTTGTTTCAAATTCACCTTCTACAAAAGTTGTTTACTCAGTATTAGCTGACCTACTTGGTTCTTACACAAACACCAGGAAGCTACAGTAACCCCACCCCCATCCCCAAAACTGGCCTTGTGCCACAGCATTGATATCATGAAACCTTCTTGTAAGTCTACACTCTTGGAAAAACACTATGGCTTTTCTAATTCAGAGCACTGACTTTAGCAACTTTTTTTTCAATCTTCAGGTATATTTTTTCAATCTTCAGATATATTTACTGCTTTTCTGTTCATTAGTAAACATTTTTACTACCAATCAGCACTCTTTTAAATAATTTTAACATCTTGGAACAAAAGCAGTAAATACTTGCATTTCTTAAACAATCTTTTTTTGTGTGTACTGTGCGTGTATTTCTAAGAGTGTGTGTTAATCTTCTCAGGTGTTCCAGGACCTGGGTGTGTCCGTTCTATCTGGAGCATCTGAGGGCTACAATGTGTGCCTGTTTGCCTATGGCCAAACAGGATCTGGGAAGACGTACACCATGATGGGCACACCGGTGAGATGAAATCATTATCATGTCACATTATACTTTTATTGTGTGAATGCTGAGTCATCATTACACACTCATCTTTTATAGTTTCATCCATGCATGTTTCACCCTTGGAAAAGAGATCTTGATCTCAATGCATTCTTACCTGGTTAAATAAAGGTGATTGGTTGATTGTCTGATGCATTATTTTGCGATTAACTAGGGAAGCACCAATACCAGTTTTTTCCTCAAACCGAGTATGAGTACTTCACTTTGGGTACTTGTTGAGACATGAGTACTTACTGAGTTAGAACCTAAACATTACACAGTGATTATAAAAACCAGGGATTAGAACCTGGTGCTAAATCAGATCCATATGTTTGTCAAAGCGAATCTCACTGTAAACCAGTTCTCATTCCTGGTCCTCGGGGATCATTATCCTGCATGTTTTAGTTGTTACCCTGCTCTTCAGTAGGTTTTTAAGTTCTGTAGAAGCCTCCTGTCCCTCACTCATTCTTTTAAATTAGGTGTGCCAAAGCAGGAAAACCTCTAAAACATGTCTGATAGTGGTCCTCGAGGACCAGGATTGAGAACTGGTCTATACGGTCGTGTTGCGTTTCTCAGACTTGTACATCACTGAGGTGGTGGTATACAGATCGATTCAAATAATTATACTAACCTCGAGTCAAACAGTTTAAATCTTTCTCTACAAGATCAAGTACAGAACAAAAATCCAGTTGCTTCATCTTTCTTTTCTATAATTTTCCATGTCCTGGGTGACTGAGAACCCACAGAAACCCCTGATAGTAACGTGTAACTGTGTCAATACTGTTCTGGATTCTCAATACTTTTAGCTTTTAGCTTGTTTTGTGCTCATTCCAGCCCGCCCTCTGTTCATCTCGCTTTAGTTGCTGTTCTCATTGTTTTTAACGTCAACAATTCAGTTTTAACTTCCTCAGCAGTCTCAGCACTCATTCATCCTGCATTTTCTTAAAAAAATACCATTTCTTTAACTAATATTACAGGACAAGTTGGAAGTAATGCAACTACATTTTTTTCTTTTGTATTTTTATTTTTTCTCAGGACTCCATTGGTCTGACTCCCCGAATCTGCCAGGTATAAAGATTATAATTTATGCAGGTTATAATCTGAGATAATTGAAAACATAAATATTGTTTTTATGATGTTGTTAGTAGGCTCAAATAATTTACTTTTTTTTCTTTTCAGAGTCTCTTTCATGCTGAAGACACATTACCTGATGGGCAAAACTCAAGCAGAGTAGAAGTCAGGTGGGTTATTGTGTGACTTTGTTTGATGTTTCGTTATTTGCATTGAGCAAAATTCTATTTAAAAAAGGAGTTTCCATTTCTGATGATTATCAATTTAATGTTAAATTTGTTGCTTTCCACGTTCCCATTGGTATTTAAGCTACTCATTGCAAACTATGAAATCAAACATAAAAAAGGTTATCATGATACCTAATGGTGCAGATTGAAAGTGTTTTCTCTAGTAGTCTTTTAGATATATTGATGTACAATTTTAAAATGTGAGTATGCACTCAGTGTAAACAAAACAATTTTACCTGCAAAGTATACTTAACAAATCTGAGTGTAAACGTATACTGATATATCAAAACTGTCAGACTTCTGCATGACAAGCAGCTCTTCCATGGATGCCACCATTGTCCTATTTTCAGTAATTCCAGCTGTTTTCATAAGTAAACAAACACGTTGGCAGCTATTCACAAATTTTGCTTTCAATTTTTTTATGTAAGGACACTGAAAAAAAGGTGCAAATTTATTTATTTCTGTATCATATCTTTTTTGTGACTTAAAAAAACCTTTTAAAATAATAACTTAAGGGAGATGTTATTCCCTCCTGCAGTTTCTTGGAGATCTATAATGAGCGAGTAAGAGACCTGCTGAGAGGAGGAGAGCAGAAGAAGAGAGCTTCCCTGAGAGTTCGAGAACATCCTGAGAAAGGGCCCCACGTACAAGGTGAGTGTCTAAAGATTTTGTAACTACAGATGCACCATTTTAGTTTTGTGGGCCGATACTAACTACTGATACAGATTTTTGTTCTAAGAAACAGAAACAGAATGAAAAACGTTCATTAAAATTTCTAAATAAAAAGGAAAGAAAGGAGAAAAAAAACCCTTTTGCATCAATCAGTCCGATCTTGGTGTAGTTTATTCACAAGGATTCTTACCTGTAAAGTAGGTGGTGGATATTGAAGTTGAAAAGCAACTGCAAAACACAATTTTCTCAGAAAAATAAATTGCAAATAAATTTGCTGCTTGCCATAAATAGGCAACTGGAGTTTAGTGAAGTTGGTAGTTCGAAGCTTACCATTTATGTTAGAATTTATTTGAATAATATAAAAAGGTTACTTCTCCCTTCATGTTTTATCAGATATTTTCCCTTTTTTGTGGTTAAAAAATTGTCTGTGTTCATAATAAAATGTTGAGGGTAAGACAACTTCTCCAGAATCACCTGCAGAGGACTGGACTTTCTCTCTCTCTGTCATTCCCTGCAAAAAATTAAACAAAACAAAATGATCTTTTAGAATTTATTTACCATGTCCTGGATGACTGAGATTCTACACCTTATGATTTTTGTGCACCACATTACAGGAAGTTGTTTTTGTTTACAAAACTTTTATTTAAAACATTTTAAAAAATCTAGTTTAAACCTCGATTGTGCAAAGAAGAGGTTATATGTGAGCAATATCCATGAAACCCCACCATCTTCTCTTATTTAAACCTAACTGAAATTGGACTTAAGCAGAGCAGAAACATGTCTCATGAGAAATGTAACATTTTTTTGGTTACCTCTTCCAAACTGAAGAAGAACCATCCAACTTCTTATCAGAGCACAGTTAGAAAGCCTGCCTCTCTGATGGTATGGAGGTGCATTAGTGCCTCTAGCATGGGCAGGTTATATATCTGGAAAGGCACCAACAATGCAAAGACATATAACAGGCTTTAGAGTAATACATGCTTCCATTCAGATGTGTTTTTCAGGGAAGGCCTTGCATATTTTAGCAAGAAAATGCTATACCCCACACTGCATCCGCTTTAAAACTGGCCTGCCTCCAATCTGAACCTCTCACCAATCGAAAACATTTAACACATCATGAAATGAAAAATCTGGCAAAGAAGACCCAAGTCAGATTTAGGAAAATACAATCTGATGGATACAACTTCACCTTTCAAAAAAACTAAAAAAAAAACTTAAAAAAATTCTTGCAGTCAAAAGCTTTTACACAATATAGAAAAGTGTTAAACCCAAGTGAAAGATTTCCAATTTAGACAGAAGTCTTGGGCCTCGAGGAAAACTTTACTTCATTTAATAAATTAATACAATTCTTTTGTAAAACATATTCTTGAAACAAAAAATAATCTTTATTCAAACAAATAACATCATAAAAACGTTTGTGTTTTTAATTAATGTTTACGAGCTTTGATCTTGTTCATAACAGTTACCTTCTTATGGCGACTGAGAGGGAAAAGTTATAAAATAACTTTTTTTTTCTGTCCCATACACATAATTTGTAAAAAGAATCATATCATGATTTAAAATACTTTAATATTTCAGCAATTATTAGTGGATTTTATAAAACCATGCTCCAAAAACAGTTTAAGTTTTGTACTTTTGGCTTTCTTATCCCTTTAACTCCACGTCTGTTTTGTTCTCTGTTTCTTTTTCCAAACGATCCGTTCTGTGTTTAAATCCCAACATCCAGTCATTGTGCAGGAGAAATCCCAGCTGTCCAGAGGAAGTGAAGTCATTTCCTTCTGGTTCCAAGGAGAGCGCTTCATCTCTCTCTCTCTCTCTCTCTCTCTCCCACTCTTACTCACACTCACACACAGTCATACACACATGTAGGAATGCGCAATATAAACGATATACGGTAGAAACGATATAAATTTGTCCTATGATAGAGATCTGTAGTCTACCGGCCAACCGCGCAATACTTTTTGATGATGTAACCGGCTGGAGTCAAAACAGAGGAAGCGGGAAGCAGCGTGGCTGAGAGCGCAAATGAAGAGGGGGGAAAAAAAACACCTGAACCGGACCTGGTTCGAGTGTGCTAAAATTAACGCTGAACTGTTCACATATTTACGTGACGGTGCGTCGGTCGGATGCCGGCCGACCACACTGCCTGCTGCAGGAGGAGCGCGCGCCGCGGCACATGGTGACGCAGCGACGCAACAGTCAGTGCAGGTGAAGTAGTGTTCCAGGACGCACAAAAGCTCGCTGAGTCTGGACCTCGTTTCTCCCGCAGTCATAGTGCGACGACGCACGGCCGAATGCGTGCGCACGCCGCACCCACTTCGTGCACGTTCCAAAGCACGACTATAACTCAGCCTTTACTGTCTCCTTGTACAGCGGAGAGCTGCTGTGGGTAAGGCTGACAGTCAGACTGTCTTTCAAAAAAAAAAAAAAAAGTAAAGCATAAACGGGATGATTGTCACCCTGCCGGAGCGCGCACAGATTAAACAGGTGGAGTGCAGAAAAATAATCTGCAAAGTGTGTAGAAAGGAATAAATACAAACAATTTGTTTTACCACCTTTAAACAAAGCAGGTGATTCCAAACACAACATCCAATGGATGCAGATTTCTATTACATTAAAGTTATTGTATGAGTGTGTGTGTGCGCGCGCGCACGTGTGCATGTGTGTGATATTTGATTTAACCAGGTACGTAGATCTCCCTTAAATTTAGATTTTTATGGGAGACTTAAAAGTGTCCCTTAAAAAAGGAGATTTTAAGGTCTAAATTTTTTTACCTATACATATTTATTCCACTCAATTAATGTGTGATTTATTTATTTTCTATTATAAGTTCTATATCGTGATATTTATCGTTACCACCACCCATCATAATGTATATCGTTATATGAATTTTTTGCCGTATCGCACATTCACACACACATGTACGCATGCGTCCACAAGTAACATTAACTGGGCAGTTTTTAATCTCCTCTTTTTTTAGCTTTTTACAATCTAATCATAGACTTATTGTCAGTTTTTTACAGTGACTGCAGAAAGGAAGCAGCTACATGGGCACACTTGGTCATCAGTGGGCACATTTTTTTACAACCCTAAAAGTCGACGTGATTCATGCTGCCTGGAAGTAGAGCTTAGTTGAAGTATTTGTAAAATTTATTGGTTGGGGGGAAAAAATTGCAATCACCACACAGGAAATATTGTTGTGTAAAGTTTCCTGTTTGTGTGTCTGTGTGTGTTTGTGCTTGTTTTCTTTCTCCAAACATTCTGAGCTTTCCAAAAGGAAACTCGTGTAAAAGTGTTAATTTTTTATATAATATTTTGCACTAAGTACCTGAGTTCTGTAACTAGCATTTTCAAATTAAGTAAATAAAAATAGCGTCCTTTGTTGTTTTTTGTTTATTTTTATTTTTTTTCTTTTGAATATAGTTGTGTTGTAATTAGATCCTAGTTGTGTAATCATCTTTCCCACACATAATTAAACAAAAAACCTTCCTCTGTTACTTTAATTTGGAAGGTTCTGGTTGTTTGGTAGGATTTCTGGTGGTAGTGATTTGTTTTTGTTTATCTCTGTTCAGACCTTTCCCAGCATGTGGTCTCAGACTACAAACAGGCCATGGACCTGCTAGAAGAAGGTATCGCCAACCGGATGACTGCTGCGACCCACAACCACGAAGCCAGCAGCAGATCTCATGCCATCTTCACCATCCAGTACACACAGGTCACCATCGCTCCCACATTTTCAATAAGCTCTAACTGTCACCTTACATTTGGGTTTGCCTGGAATTAGTATTGAAATTTATTCAGCTCAACTTGCAGCATTGTCACGATTATTTAAGTTTTACAGACTAATGCAGATGACTATTGTTTTTTTTTTTCCTCCACAGGCAGTTTTAGAAAATAACCTTCCTTCAGAAACTGTCAGCAAGATTAACCTGGTGGACTTGGCTGGGAGGTAAAACTGCAGCAGGTCTTTTTTCCCCTCTGTTATTGTTAAAAGTGCCCCCTGGTGGATTGACTGCCGTCTTTAGATTTTCTAAATCGATATGATTGGGAACCACATTTATGTTGTGTCTTGTAGTGAAAGAGCAGACCCCCGCTACTGCAGGGACAGACTGACAGAGGGTTCCAACATCAACAAGTCCCTGGTCACGCTGGGCATTGTCATTTCAGCTCTTGGTAAATTAAGTAACTCTTAAAAAAATAGGTTTGAGTATTTATAGTTTTGTATTCATATTGCACAGACCTGCATTTTTTTCTTCTATTTATTTTACATTCTCTGCAAACCCTTGAATCTTTTTTTTTTACCTCTGCAGCCCAGAACTCCCAGATGTCAAGCAGCTGTCAGAGTATCAACAGTGTGGCCTCTGAGGGTGATGGCAGCATGTTGGGAAGCCACAGCAGCTCTCTGTCTGGAGGAGGTGGAGGCGGGAGAAGGCTCTGCTTCATTCCCTACAGAGATTCAGTCCTGACTTGGCTTCTGAAAGACAGCCTGGGTGGCAACTCCAAAACCATCATGATTGCAAGTGAGTACTCCAAGTTACAGGCCCTAGCCTTTCTTAGAAAGAATATATACTTAGCACAAAAATGAAAGAAAATTGTGTTTGGCAGATTATTTAATTGTTGTAACTATTCTTTGAAATAAATCGGAGGCACAGCAGGCGGAGAAGATTTGGCAATTTTTTCATGTGCAACCCACATCATCAGCTCTACTGCTCATTCCCCAAATGCATGTTCCTTACAAATGTGGCACCATTTAAAAGGGAAATGAACAGGCTTTCTAACAGTATAAGATTTATTGTCAAGAAGCATTGGGACTCATGCAAGAACCGTTCGTACGCACAGATTTGTTCTTAAATTGTGCGTACAAGTGATTTAGGAGAATTTGTGGCATTCACCAATGTTTTCGTATTCTAAGATTTTTTTCAGATACGAACAAAATTTACGAGTGGTCCAG